CCATATTGCTGCAAATGGCTTGAGTAATTGCTGTGTGTGTGTGTGTGTTTGTGTGTACCACATAATCTTGATCCATTCATCTGTTGGGGGCATTTAGGTTGTTTCCATATCTTAACTATTGTATGTAGTGTTACAGTAAACATGAGTATAGGTCTCCTTTTGAACAAAAGGAATAAGAGGTTTTTTGTGACCTCCAGGTAGATTCCTAACAATGAAATCACAGGATCATAAAGTAGACCCATTTTTAGTGTTTTGAAGGTTTTCCACACAGCTTTCCATAGTGGCTGGACCAGTTTGCATTCCCACCAGCAGTGTAAGAAGGTTCCTTTTTCTCCACATCCTCGCCAGCATTTGTTGTTTCTCATTTTTTCTTTCTTTCTTTTTTTTTTTTTTTAACATGAGCCATTCTCACCAGTGTGAGGTGCTATCCCATTATGGTTTTGACTTATACTTCTCTGATAATAAGTGATGTTAAACATTTTCTCACGTGCCTGTTGACCATTTGCATTTCTTCTTTGGAGAAGTGTCTTTTCAGCTCTTCTGCTGGGCTCAGGCATCTTTTGTAAAATTGCTGGACTAATTTCTAAGAATAAGAAGTTTATTGTCTTTAATCTGCCAAGTATTTAGTAAAAGTCAATTATTTCTTCCACATGTTAATTAACAAAAACCAGCATGACAGGTCACATAATATTTTCATGGGATAATTTGTGTGTGGTTCAGATGACTAAAGAATATAAAATAGACATGGTGCTCTGTGTGACAAAGTACATTTTGGAAAGGGAAAGGGAAGCTCTAGGTAACTTAAGTCTTCAGTGAAAACTTGTTGACAGGAATGGAGCTCAGATTTCATCTTGAGGTGGGAAGGATGTAGGTAACCAAAGGAAAGAAAGGAGAAGGCATTTCAAGTGGGCAACAGAATGGTCATGGTCTTAATTAACCCCACAAAGTTTAAATAAAATGTTAAGTTGAATAATATAAAATTAATGGGAAGTTTTTTTTAAAAATCTACTTTTGGCAATTTCATATAGAGCTAACTAAGAAAAGTGGCATTTGTGGAGTAATATTCTCGAAGTTTCACCTGTATTAGAATGTTCACTACTGGGCAGGGCAGTAGGTACATAGGCTCCTTATAATCTTATTTCTTATAATTAAAATATTTCATTATCACCTGTTAAAAATGTTTAAAGAGGCACTCCCTGGTGGTGCAGTGGGTTAAAGCACAGCACTAAGAAGCTTAAGCCACCCCCGCATGGGTTCTATTCCCGCCTGCCCCAGAGGTGACCGCATGGTGTGGCAGACCTCTCCTGACCCGCCTGCTGCTCCCCTCAGCAGTGTACTTTGTCCATCTGCCTGTTCTGCTCCTCACTCTGTCTCTGGTGAATCCTCTCACCCCCCCTAAGCCTCTGGCCTGGACCCCAGTTCTGTATGCACAAATAAATAAATCTTTAAAAAAAAATGTTTAAAGAAAAAATTAAGTCACATCAAACAATTTAAATGATCCCTCTAGGTAACACTCATTTAGAAAAGTCACTCTGAATTTTCTCAGCAATCACAGTCACCCTTTTTCCTCTTAGGGTATCAGAGGACAAATAAAGGTTTATGCAAAGGGGACATCCAGAGACACCCCCACACTCCAAGAGTGGTGTCCTTTGACTCCTCAGAAAAAATGATATTTGTACATGTTTTATTTATTGGGAAATAATTTTCCTCTTTGTTTCTAGGCTTCTATACTGGTTGGTTAGTTCAGTAATAAATGTGGGAGAATTTTGCTTGGAAAAAAAGAAGGCTGGAGAGGAGAGGTAAGGACTCGCAATCATGACCTTCCCTTCCTCCCCTCCTCCCATTGTCCCTCAGGACCAAAAAACACTGGCTTCCCTCCATCTTCCAGGTCACATCTTTCCCCAAGGAGTGCAGGCATGAGGGCCAGGCACTCATGCCCTTTGGGAGAACTCTTGGTTAAGTTCCCCCAAAGTTGGGGTAGTTGAAGAAACATTTTCTCCCCAAAGTTAAAAGGAATTCAGCAAATCTTCTGAATCACTGATTTAGCTTTGAAAGTTCTTGTCTTGCTGTAAAATCCTATTTTGAATGTCAGAAGCTGGATATCTCAGTAGCCACACACCCCCGCTTCCTTCTGTAACAAATTCTTACCTCCCCCAGGCAGATGGATCCCAAGGGTCAACTAAGGATCATCATATATTTAAACAGGAAAAAGGGAAAGTAGGCTATTTTTCCAAACATTACTTTTCTAATAGTACTAAAAAATCATTCCATCCCCATTTCTGTCCTTCCTAGAGCTCCAACAAATGCCCCAAGACCTCCATAGGTCAACTCCAAGATTTATCGCCTGGGTTGATACTCAAAATGTTGAACAGCCCTCACGCAAGAAGAACATGGAATGGAAATGAATCAGGTCAGTACATTCGTAGTAATTGTGTTTCCACTCTCTCAGGGCACATAGCTTTCCCAATACTGGGCCCAGGGGCTCCCCTTCTCAGTCCACATTGGCAATGACCACCCCCCTGCCTGGTAGGTAGGCAGACCTGTGGAGCATGTCTGGTTCAGTTAACAGGGCATGACATCAAGGATCGTGCACTATCTGAGTGATATCACAACTGCATTTTGGCAGGAGGAATTTGGAAGGAATAGTCAACCCCAAGATTAAGGAAGCCAGTGAAGATGAGCCAAAGGCAAGGGAAGTTTGTAGGGGAAGAGTCCTCCATGACTGGACAGCAGGGGATGGTATATCACTTCTGAGATCTGAAGGCAGACCACCTGGCTTCATCCTGCCTAGACTGATAAGCAGTACATTTTTCAATCTCCTCTAAGCCCTGTTTCAACTGTGAAACAGGGAACTTCTGGAATTTACTAGCTTAGGATGCTTATCACAGAAAAGTATTGAGTAAATGGTAGCTATTACTGTAATTGAATAGTGATAATTATATATTGTTATAGATAATATGCTATATATTACATATAATAGATTATATGTAGCCATGTAATAATTATAATTACTACAGTTGTTTCTGGGCCAGAGGCCCACTACTGACAATGAGAAATGTTTCCCTACTATCAGTAGCCTCATCCACTTGTACATATAGGCCTTTGGATCCAAATGCTGAACTAGTGCAGCAAGTATAAAGTGAGAGTGTGCAGTGGGGCCAAGGGGTAATAAAGAGGAAATGCAAAGCAGCCCTGGTTAGCACAAAAGGGGGTTTACCCGATGGAGAGGGACAAAGTCAAACTCAAGTACTTTCTTCACATTACCTATCGAGGAGCATCAAAAGTATTTAATTAAGGGAAAGGAAAAAGAATTTTTTGCATAGAACTTGGGGGGGTGGGGAAGGGGGAGAGGACTCAACAAATTCACCAGAGTGGGGAGCAGTACAGACAGGCTTGTGAAATACACTGCTAAGGGAAGCAGTGGGCAAGAGAGGAGAGGTCTGCTGTGCCATGTGGGTCAGCTCCCTGGCTGGGGATGGAACTCAGGCTGTAATATTGATAGTGCTGAGACTTAACCAAGATATTTTGGTGTCCTAGACCAGGGAGGCCCCAAAATATCTTTTAAATGAATAAAAATAAAACAGGCCTGGGAGAATACTTGATTCCATGCTAGTCCAGAAACCCAGACTTCCTGGCACTGCACTGGAGAAAGAGATTTTAGACATATTCCAACTGGAGGAGAGAAGGATATCCCAGGTGGAAGAAAAAGGAGCTTCCGGGAAAAGTGAGCTAGGCAGAAATGCCTTCTATTTTAAGTTACAGCTTTCCTTACTGAGATAACTAGCTTTAAGTTCCAATCATTCACAAATCACTAACAGGAAGACATTGAAATGGAAGGGCAGTACAGAGAATAATTCAAGTCTATATTATTCTTTAAATGAAGTACTAAGTACAGAAGAATAAGTCAGATGCTATTTCAAACCCTCCCAATCTAATCACCCTAAAGTAATTCCCCTGTCTAGTGCAATGGTTTTCAAACATTTTTTATAGCAGCTCACAGGAAGAACTACATGCTGCATCTCTGCTGGGTACAGGTGCACACCGAGTATTGGCTCATGATACGAACGTGAAACAACATTGATCCTTACTAGGTGCTATTTTTCTATTTTATTCTGGCTCCTCTCTCCCTCCTTCATAATCCTTGTCAAACTGATTTTGCCACTCACAGTTTGAAAAATACAGGTCTAAGGGGTCTTCCTAATCTGCAGGTTAGTTTGCCTCGCCAGAATATGGATAGAGTGCAGAAACTGCCCAAAATCGATTTCTAGGTTTGACTTTTGTCTCTAGGATTTAAGAAGCCCTGCCCAGTCAGCGTAGCTTTTCCTATAGCCCACCAGAAGGATTTGGAAGTCAGGGGGAGGGAGGGCCAGGCCGCAGAATGCAGAATCCGTAGGACCATCCTCAAGGCCTTAAGATACCATGTCTACTGGCATCTATTTTATATTATTTTTTAAAAATCTCCATCTTAATCTGGAAAAGATCATGCTTAGTGAGATAAACCAGAAAGAAAAAAGAAAAATACCGGATGGTTTCGCTCATAGCAGGAGTATAGTGGACCAGGTGAGAAAATAAGAATAATGAACAGCCATATACCAGAGACATTTTATGGGGGTGGAGTGGGGAATGGGATCAAAAACAGGGGGGGGAGGGAAGTGCACTGCACTATGGTGATGACACATGGGTGACTTGGTGATGGGAAACAAAGGGATTACAATTGAGATTTAAAAAATGTACAAAATGATGGGAAAATAAACTATTATATTATTTTAAAAAACCTCCATCTTAAAAATTTAGTATCAGCATGCACCTCTGATAATTAACCCAACACACACAACTCTGGCTTGAGCCCAAGTAACCCTGCTCACGCAGGAGAGACCCCTTGCTGCCAGCCGGGCTCCCGTGGGTGACCCCAGCGCCCCCGCCCTCCTCCAGCCTCGGGTAACTTTTCCCTCCAGTTTGGTGGAAGGTTACATGAAAAGAAAGTAGTCCCTGATAGCTAGAAACTTTTCAGGGGAAAAGAAGGCGTTGGACGTGCGGGTGGGTGGGCAGCCCGGGCTAGGGCGGCTGGAGTCCTAACCTCCCCGGGCGGGGCAGCACGCGGGCGCAAATGCTGGGGACAGGAGGGGATGGGAGGGGAGGGAAGGAGAGTGAAGAGGAGGGGTGAGTGGGAGGGAGAAGAAAATCCTGAAGTCCGGGAAAAGGGCTGTGTCGGCTGCAATCCTACGCTGTGTTCCCGCAACCCGGGAGGGGGCGCTGGCGGCCGGGAGTCCAGGATAGGCGAGGTCTCCTGACCCCTGAAGTCGCCTTGGGTGGTCAAGAGCAGTTTTTTAGGATTTGGATTTTTTTTTGGGGGGGGGGGGCTGGAGGGCGGTTATTGATCATTTCTTTTTGTCATCATGATCTCGGTTGCAGACTGCGTTAAAGGAGCCATATTAAGAGTGCAGAAAATGAGATGATCTGAGAACAAAAAATGTGATTTTATAAACAGTTTTTCCTACTTCCTTTTTCTCTCAAATTAAATTTAGATGTAAGTGAACATGTGCAGAGGCCTCCAAGATCCGGCTTTGTCTTCTGCCCTCACCCTCCTTTGTGGAGAGTAATTTTGCTAAATGGAGGTGGACCCCCTGACACTTCACCCTGGTAAGCAATGACCGTTTCCATGGGTGATGACTTAGAGTTTCTGTTTTACTTTATTCCAATTCATGCCCTGGCTTCAATTGGGTAAGATTACACCTAACCCAGTCCAGGTTTAATTCAGATCTATTTTAAAAACTCAATAGCAGATAGTATACTAATTTCTCCATCTGCTTTAGGAAATACTGGTTTATTTGCTGCATTCATTTAAAGTGTTTCTTTGCTGTGTAAATAGAGAACAGCCTTTCTTTTTCCTGGTTGGCATTGTCAACAAGCATTTGGGGCGTGCTTAATTGTAAACATGGCTGGATACTACAGTTTAAACAATCTGACATACTGTTAATTTCATTAGATTTAGGATTTCACATACATGTAATCTATACCATGCTTTATTCCAGAAATCTCTGTGAAAGGAACCCTGTCTTACTGTTCAGTGAAATGGGTTTGATCTCCTGGCTGTGGCTGGCCATTTAAAAGGATTTTGGATATAATAGAGACTCATTCAGTGATACCTATTAAGATTACTTATCTCTACAACCTCCAAAGTGTTTTGCATGGTGCAAACACAATGGATACTCACTGAATGAATAATCATACCACACCCCCATACAAAACACATAGGGAAAATACCAGGATGGGAACCTGCTAGCATTGCATCCGTGAGGCTCTGTGCAGAGGTATCTATCCTGCAGATATTTTACCACATGCAGGCCCTTGACCTTGGAATGCTAACTGCTTCAAATTTTCAGGGAAAAAAATGTGCCTAGTTAACTAGTAAGCCCCAACCTCTTGTCAGTATGGAACTTGAGAAGTTTGTCTAACTATGGAAAATCTAAGCTGGTCCCTTGACACACAGATGGGAGGGAGGGAGGTTTCCACATGTTATTCTAGTTATCTAAGTCAAAAATGATTAGTGGGCCTCAGCTTCCATTACATCATCCATTGGAAGCGTGTGGACTGGGAGCTAGTAAGTCACATGATACCACACAGGAATGAGGCTGAATTTTCTGTTTCTGCCCTTAGCCTTAGTCAGTTTTCAGTATATTTGGAAAAGGTTAAAGTAGAACATGGAGATCTAGTTTATTTTAATACTGTCAGACTGCTAAGCGGTGGAAACTTGTTGAAGCGATTTACTGAGCTGTTTCCTTAGATTAAAGACTTTAGTGAATTAATTAAAAGGGTTTTTGAGAGATACAACATGCCAGACTCCTACTGGCTCATAAAATTGTTCTTTCTGATTGCTGTGGTGTGACAGCTGAGCACAGTGCATGTAAAGCTTCAGGAGACTAAAACAAGGGTAGTGCTGAAGAGTTTAAAGACAATGAGTGTTCAGAGGGCCTTGACAACACTGTCAACTGGGTCTGTGGTTCATTTCCTTTCACTAAGGCACCTGGACTCAGTCAAAGTGCTTGGGCAAGATGCTGAACTTCTTGGTAAAAATAAAGTCACAACTTCAGAAGAGTTTCATAGAATTTTTCATAGAGGTTTTATGTTTTAGTCGTTACTTTTAAAATGTACACCCTATGGACGGTCTCATTTATTTTTTAAAAAGATTTATTTATTTATGCATAAAGAAATAGAGTACAGGCCAGAGGTGCAGGGGCGGTGAGAAGCTTCACCAGAGACAGAGAGGGGAGCAGAACAGGCGGATTAATGGAGTACACTGCTGAGGGGAGCAGCGTGCAAGACAGGAAAGGTCTGCTGCATCATGTGGGTCACCTCCCTGGAGGGGATCAGACTCACACTGTAGCCTTCACAGCTGGGCTTAGCTTCATAGTGCAGTGCTTCAACCCACTGTGCTACTAGGTACTAGGAAGGGCCCTTTTTTTTTTTTAAGATTTATTTATTTATACATACAAGAACTGGGGTGCAGGCTAGGAGGTGAGACGACTCACCAGAGAGTGGGGAGCAGAACAGGCAGATTGAAGTACACTGCTGAGGGGAACAGCGTGCGGGTCAAAAGAGGTCTGCTGAGCCATGTACGTCACCTCCCTAGCCAGGGACCCAACTTGTGTAGCAGTGGCTGTGGACAGCCTCACAGTGCTGCACTGTAACCTGTTATGCCACCAGCAGTGGTCCAAGATGGCCTCATTTATTGAGCCAGGTCTGTGCCATTCACTTTCCAGAGTCATCAACTGCACTAAAAGTTAACGATATTTCCCCTAAGACAAGTAGCCCTGAAATTTTACAGACTAATAAATAAACTGCAGCAGAAGTATTCTGAAATTTTTGACCAACTTCTGAACAATATCGGGGTGCTGTTGATTTAGATAATACTTTCTGGCTCTCCCTGGTGGTGTAGCGGGTTAAGACGCAGCACTGCAAGCTAGAGGCAGCCGCTTCAGTGCAAGTTCAATCCCAGCCCCTGAGGTGATCCACATGGCATAGCAGACCTCTCCTGACCTGCCCACTGCTCCACTAAGCAATGTATTTCGGTCAATCTGCCTGTTCTGCTCCCCACTCTGTCTCTGGTGAATCCTCACACTGCCCCTGTGCCTATACCCCAGTTCTGTGTGCATAAATAAATAAATCTTAAAAAAAAAAAAAAAAGAAAATACATACTTTCTGGGCCTAGAGAAAAGGCAACATTGTCAACAACACCTGTAACTGAAAACCTATCACTAATATATATGTGCCTGTAGTCAGAAATTAAATGTGCCCCCAGCTGAATAGGGTTTAGTTATTCATTCACTGCATACTTATTAAGTGGTAGGTCTTGGAAGCACTTAGTTCTTCTAGTGCTATGATATTGCTATTTAATAGGAAGATAATGTGAGATACTTACGTAATTTTAAATTTTCTACTAGCCATATTAAAAAATGAAAAAGATACCAATAAAATTAACTTAAATAATGCATTTATTTCACCAAATATATTGAAAATAGCATTTACAGATAGAGTCAATACAGACATTATTAATAAAACATTTCACTTTCTTTGTTTTTCTAAGTCAGTATGTATTTACAGCCTCATCTTGCACCAGCCGCATTTCAGAAACTCAAAAGCCGCATATGAGTAGTGATTACCCTACTGGGCCACCCCAGCCTAGAGGGAAGCAGAGATGAGTAAACAGGTAACCCATGAGAGAGGTGGAAGGAACAGAGAGAGCGTATTAAAAGGGCCTAGGTCCTTCAGTTCTTCTTCCTAAACACTCCACAATTCTCCCTGTTTCTCTGCCCCTTTCCTGCGGTCACCCTGATTCAGACCAGTGTGTTCTCCCTCCAGCCACAGAACCCCCTCCTGCTCCTCCCAGGCCTCTCTCTGCATCTAGAGTGATCTTTTAAAGATGCGCGCTTCTGGTCATGTCACCCCCATCTATCATGAATGTGCTGTGTGAGATGAGGAGAAGCTCCCAGTGCTGGCGCTCAGCTAATGTACTTCTCACTGCTGCTACTTTTAATTCTTGACCCTGCTGCTTTCTCCCCTTCCCGGCTCTTATTTTTGATCTGTCTTTCATTCCCTTTTAACACCCTTCAGTCTTATCATCTGGATTTCTTTAAAAAAATGTTTTTATGGGCCCTCCCTTGTGGCGCAGCGGGTTAAAGCACAGCACTAAGAAGCTTAAGCCACTTCCGCATGAGTTCGATCCCGCCTGCCCCGGAGGTGACCACATGGTTGCAGACCTCTCCTGACCCGCCTGCTGCTCCCCTCAGCAGTGTACTTCGTGGATCTGCCTGTTCTGCTCCCCACTCTGTCCCTGGTGAATCCTCTCACCCTCAGCATCTCTGGACTGTACCCCAGTTCTGTATGAATAAATAAATCTTTAAAAAAAATGTTTTTATGGGCCCTCCCTGGTGGCGCAGCAGGTTAAAGCACAGCACTAAGAAGCTAAAACTATTCCAGCATAAGTTCCATCCCTGCCCCGGAGGTGATCCACATAGCACGGCAGACCTCACCTGACCCACCCGCTGCTCCCCTCAGCAGTGTACTTCATCAGTTGGCCTGTTCTGCTCCCCACTCTGTTTCTGGTGAATCCTCTCACTATCCTTGCACCTCTGGTCTGTACCCCAGTTCTGTCTACATAAATAAATATCTTTAAAAGAATGTTTTTATGGAAATGACATGGCCTAGATGTGTCAGCATCAGGCGAGCACCATCATAATTTGGGTCTGTATGTACTACACTGAGTCCCGCTGACCAGCTTCATGAAATTGACCCCTTTTACTCAGTTTACCCACCCACGTACCTTCTCCCCTTCTGGTAGCCACTGATTTGGTCTTTTAGCCTGAAAGGCTTTTTGTTTGTTTTGTTTAGTTCATTCATTTTCTTTTTTCTTGTATTACATATGCAGGACTGACAGTTCACTAACCGTTAGACCACCTGGGTCTTTCTATATTGTTGCAAATGGGAGGATTTCATCTATTTTGGTAGCTCAGCAGTATTCCATCTTGTATCAATACCACATCTTCATCCAGTCATCTGCTGATGGCACTTAGGTCATTTCTAAACTCTCCGTATTTTAAGAATGCTGCAATGAATATGAAGGTGTGGATAGGTCTTGGAATTGGTGTTTTTGTGTTTGTCAGATAAATACTCAGAATTGGGATAACTGATGACCTCCCTGGTGCCTACAGGTTAAATGTCAGCACTCTCACCACTATGGCCTGGGATCGAATTCATGCTGCAGAAGCTCTGGAGAGCTTCATAGTGCTGCACTTTAACCCCTTGCACCACCAGGAAGGGCCCCAAGTGCTTCATTTAAACTCATCAAGATTAAATTTAAGATGAAGTTTGAGCATGGTCTTAACTAACTTGCCATCTAGAGAGCTTCTATAGATAATTATGTATTATCTTCTCCTGGAAGGAAACAGTCCCCTTTCACATGCTGCAGAGGAGAAATGGTGCAGCTTTACACAGGATCTTTCAGTGACTTGAAACAGACCGGGAGAACCCAGGCACCTGCTCACAGCCATGCATGCCCTTCTCAGTGGACAGCTGCTGCCTCTTGGCAGTAGGGCTGGGAGGCAAGTTAATTATTCATTCTCTGTGGAGATCAAGAAATAAATGAGGACCTCGCTGGTGGTGCAAGGGGTTAAGTCTCAGCACTATGAACTGATCACCAGTCACTGCAGCATGAGTTTCATCCCCACCCAGGGAGCTGACCCACATGGTACAGCGAAGCCTTCCTGTCTCGCCTGCTGCTCCCCTCAGCAATGTATTTCAGTAGGTCCACCTATTCTATTCCCTGCTCTGTTTCTGGTGAATCTTCTTACTTCCCTCCCACCTCTGGCCTACATCCCAACTCTTGTATACATAAATAAATAAAAGAAAGAAATCTTTAAAATGTAAATAAATGAGATACCTAAATAAAGAAACCTCGGTGCTGAGAGCTGGGAGCTTCCTTAACTTTGCACACCTTCTTTGGAGGACCAGTTTTCTTGCTTAAAGGATCAGCCCACACGGGATAATGGGCTGTTTGCTTTTACGTCTGAGAAAGTGGATTTATGACCCTCATTGTACTCATCTGTTTATGTCTCCAACATGGGCAACAGTGCCTATTGCCAATACTCTCTACTGCCACCAGGAGGAAGGAGAGATGAAAAAAGGAAGTTGTAACTCAAGGACTTTCTTCTCGGTGTAGTAGACACTAGCGAATTAGGAAGGAGCTTATCCTCGGAAATATGTTTCTCAATAGAAAAGACCCCCCCCCCTTATTCCAGTTCTGTAGATGAATCCACCCCCAGAAAATCTTGGGCATTCAGAAATATTTGTTGAGTAGATACTGCATACAAGGTTGCTCCATGTCTGTCTTCCTGCAATACCACATTCGTCTTTAAACCTGAGGGAAACCATCAGCATTTTCTCAAATGGAATATTTTGCTGAAATGAGATACTGAAGAATAAGGACCAACTACAGAAATATTTTAGTATTACGGTGCCTCTACAACCTGAAACATATCTTAACCTTTGGCCATTAATCCCTGAACATCAGGCTGCGTGCCATATTTCATTCTAACAGCTTGTTCTAAGCTTCTCACTTTAAGATTTACTGGGATTTTTTTTTTTTTCTGAACAGAATTACTCTTGTGAGAGAACTAGCAGGAGCATGTTGTGTTGGTTAGGACAGACTAATTCTGTAACTTTCAGACCCAAATAGGGATGCTGTGTCAAATATTATATAATAGAAGTTTTTCCTTGCCTCTGAAGTAACATTTAACTCTTTCTCCTTCCTTCTCCTGCTCTGAGAGGCCATTCAGAACCCTCGCTGAAGGATGGTGGACAAAAGACTTGTAGGAGGACCCTCTCTGGTGGTGCAAAGGGTTAAGCACAGCACTATGAAGCTGTTGGCTGCTGCTGCAACTGAGTTTGATCCCCAGCCATGGAAGTGAGTAACTCTCGTGGCACAGCAGACCTCTCTTGTGTTGTCTGCTGCTTCCCTCAGCAGTGTATTTCGGTAGATCTGCCTGTTTCTGTTCCCCACTGTTGGTGAATCCTTCCCACCCCCTGCACCTCTGATCTGTACCACCCGCCCTCTTATATGCATAAATAAATCTTAAACAACAAAGAACATGCAGGAACACACTTGGTCATTTGGGTGGGTCTCCCAGTTGAATTCCACACACTAGTGTTAGTTTGCAGTTTGTTTCTGATGGCAAGCTAAGAACAAGGTAAGGACAGAAAGAGAAAATAGGCCTTTAGAAAGTTTTATAGTAGTTTTGATAAATGATTTTATGTCTGCTGAATTTAATTAAAAATTGGGGTTTAAACTCATTCCTTTGCTTTTGCATTTCACTTTTTCCAGTAATTCATTTGTAGTGTATTCTTTAAAAGTTTTGACCCATAGTGGACTCAAAAGAAAAAAGTGTCTTTTGTCATATACAGTTTGAAGCACTGGTGTCCACTCCTTTCCTTCATATTCCCTTGTATAGCACTTAAGTCTCTTGGTCATGTCTAATCACATCAGAAACTAGAAATGAGATTTAGCTGTATGAAAAGGAAAGGGGGAGAAGAGATGTTTGGGAACATTAGATATCTCTGCGACTTCTAGTTGGTTCATTCAGAAATGCAGCCTAAGGGCCTCCCTGGTGGTGCAAGAGGTTAAAGTCAGCACTATGAAGCTCTGGCCAGCCACAACAGTATGAGTTCAATCCCCAGCCAGGGAGCTGACCCATATGGAGCAGCAGACTTCTCCTGTTTTGCCCTCTGCACTGTATTTCAGTAGATCTGTCTATTCTGCTCCCTACTGTCTCTGGTGACAGACACCTCTAACACACACCCCAGTTCTTATATGCATAAAAAATTTTAAAAATCCTAAAAGAAAGAAAGAAAGACAGCCTAAAATTTGAAATGATTGAGAATTAAGTCTCCAGATGAAGTTGAGCTACAGGAAATATATCCATCTTACTTTCAACCATCCTGAAGGCCATTGCTAGCCATTGGCATTAGTTTTAATTCAGAAAGATTTGGCTGATAAGAATGCCCAGTATGGGCCCTCCCTGGTGGTGCAGTGGGTTGAAACACAGCACTGTGAAGCTAGATGCAGCCACTTCAGCAGCACAAGTTTGATTCCTGCCCAGGGAGGTGACTCACGTGGCCTGGCAGACCTCTCCTGTTTCACCCGCTGTTCCCCCTCAGCAGTGTACTTCATAGATCTGCCTGTTCTGCTCCCCAATATGTCTCTGGTGGATCCTCTCACCACCCCTGCACCTCTGATCTGTACCCCAGTTCTGTATGCATAAATAAATAAATATTTTTTAAAAGTCCAGTAGGAACTTTATTTACTGTGTTCATTTCTGACACACTCTTAATTTTCTCTCCATTCTCCCCACCATGTGTTAGCCTTTTACTTCTTATACTATCAAAACAGCCACCTAGTAGGTATCCTTATCTCTAACCTTGCATCCCTCATCCCATCTAACATGTCTATTTCTCCATGTGATTCTTCCCTATCACTCACTGGCTGAGTACAACTTTTTTTATAAAAATCCTAGAAGGCCATTCACCTCCCAGCCCCTTCCTGCTTCTTAGTCCTCAGCTCCTGCCTTGGTGCCCTGGTCATGCTGTGCCCCACCAGCCTTACAGACCTCCTGGTCACCCCTTCCCACTCCTTGACTCTCTTGGAATTTCCACTTACCCTCAACTTGTATATTCTCCAAACTGATATTAAGTGATACAAGGGTTGTAATTGCTGTGTCCGCTTATGTCAGCTGTTTTTCCAGTGTTACCTCTTTTTGTCTTCATGACAGTGCTATACAGGTTGGCATTGCTAGCTCTGTATCACTGGGTAGGTCCTTCCCCTATGTGCCTCAATTCTCTGTCTGTGAAATGAAGACAGCAATACCTTCTCAGAGACTTGTGAAGACTGGACAAGTTCATGTATGTAAAGTACTTAGAATGTGCTTGACGTATAGTCCAGTGCTTACTGGTTACATTGCTGTGCTATCAATGACTTGTCATATTCAGAGGCCTGGCTGAATAACCATATTCAGTAGCTCAAAAAGCTTCAGTAACTTGTATAAGATGACATGGCCAGTAAGTGGTAGAGCCAAGAGTAATCCCAGATCCATTTGAAACTTAAAACCAAGCATTTTCACGGCATCTGAGAAAGAGTCTGTAGCCAGGCTCCAGGGCAGAGGAGCCAGAGGCCCCGTGGATAAATGAAATCCTGTCTTTTGCTTCTGCAAGGCTTAACAAGTCTTCCTGATAGGCGAGACAGCATCCATCTCGCCCTCTTGTGGCCACAGGGCTCACTGTGCACCCCTGGTAAGGCTCAAAGAGGAAGGGAGCATGGGTTGAAACCATCTGTGGATGGGAGAAAGGTCGACCATCAGAGAAACAAGGGGTGCAGCTAGCAAGTTCAAGGAGAACTAGGCTTTCTTTAAAGCCTAACTTCCCAGGCCCAAGTCTATTCCCAGAGCTAAGACAGTCTGCCTCCCACAAAATGGGGCCCACGAGGGGCTCCCTGGTGGCACAGAGGTTGGGATATCAGTGCTGTTGGGCTCTCTGCAGCCAGCCACTGCAGCATGAGTTAGATCCCTGGCCAGGGAGCTGACCCACATGGCACATCAGACCTCTCCTGTCTGACCCACTACTCCCCTCAGCAGTGTATTTCAGTAGTTTTGCCTGTTCAGCTCCCCACTCTGTCTCTGGTGAATTCTCTCACCACCCCACCCCCACTCCCACAACTCTAGCCAATACCCCAGCTCTTGGATGCATAAATAAATTAAAAAAAAAAACTTATCCAAAAAAGTTAAATGGCTCTATTTTTTTAAAAATGAGGCCCAGGAAAATCCAGGCACTTTAAATCTTTAAAAAAAAAAAAAAGATTTTATTTGTGCATACAGAATTGGGGTACAGGCCAGAGGTGTAGGAGCGGTGAGAGGATTCACCAGAGACTGTGGGGGAGCCGAACAGGCAGGTCGATGAAGTACACTGCTGAGGGGAATAGTGGGCAGGCCAGGAGAGGACGACCACGCCATGTGGATCACCTCTGGGGCAAGCCGGGATTGAAATCATGCTGAAGTGGCTTTAGCTTCTTAGTGCTGTGCTTTGACCTACTGCGCCACCAGGGAGGGCCACTTTAAAGCTTTTTTAAGCATAGTGTGTGGCTCTTAAGAGTAGAAATTGAAGATATAATCTCTTCCCTCACAGAAAACGTCATATAATCTATCCATTTGTGCTGTCAGCAAAGAAAATTTTATACAGTTCAGAGTATGACTCCAGAGTCAGATTTTCTAGGTATGAATTCTGACTCTGTTATATTGTGTGATCTTGAGCAACTTAACGTCTCTGTGCTTCAGTTTCTGTACTTAACATGGGGATGCTAGTACTGACTGTCTCATAAGGTCATTCTGAAGATTACCTAAGGTAATGTCAGTGTATGACTGGCATTAAGGCCTAACTTACCAGTTTGGAAACAGTGTATGACATATAACAAGTGCTTAAGGTTTTTTCGATAAATATACACAGCAATTATAAATTTATAAATAGCATATAAATGAAATGTTTGTGTGGTTTTAGCCCAGTAAGAATTTAGACATGGGAAAGCTATAGGGGAAAAAAAAGAAATTTAGAAAGTTTCGCTGAAGTAGTGAAAGTAAAAACTAGTTGGGATTTGGGCAGACCCAGGTATGGCCCAAATGCCGAGATCAAAATAGACAAACGTATAGATAGAAATTGGTATGTTATGGAGGCATATAAGGCAGGGGGTGAGAAGACATGCCAGATTGTAGAACTGGAATTGGGGAATAGGGAGAGACATGTAAGACTTTTAAAACTAGATTTGCATAATAGGCAATGACGTGCATTGAGAATTTTAAGGGGGGGAATGACTGATGTCAGTGGTGCTTTAAGAAAATGTATCTGGCAGTGATTTTCTGGAAAGACTGGAGAAGAGAAAAGATTAGAAGAAGGGAGGACAGTTATGATAATACTGACTGGTGATGGTGAGGACCTAGTTTTATGTTGTACCAGATGGAAAAGATGAGGGAGGAATAGGGGAAATATATGGCTTTAAATTTATTTTCAGAAAATGAAAGTAAGATGTTTCAAGGTTTAACAAAATGGAGTAATAGATACAGGTACAGAATAAAAATAAGTCTTCCTCCTCTTTCTCAATTCCAGACTGACTCTACAAAAAGTAACCAGTCCTAAAAGTTGTTAAATGCCTAATTCTATATCACTGGCCCTGTAATTCCCAGTGGTTATGTTCTATAAAGTTGCCTCAGATGCTGACTTAGTATAGATGTATAATGAACCATTGTTGCTGTAGAAAAACAGGCTTAGATTTTCAAGCCTCTGATCATAACATTTTTTTCTTTCTTTAAATTTACTTTATTTATTTATTTATTTATTTGGTTTCTTTTCCCCCACCACCATCCCTTTTATCCTTTCCCTCCTTCCTTCCTCTTAATCCCAGAGGCCTCACTGCTTACTGATGTCCACTGGTTTGGGAAAGTGTTTTACCTAATGCAGTGGTCTGCTATGTCAATGTCCACTACTTGTTCTTATAATTCCAACTTGCTTTGCTATACATAATTCTTTCAAACTCTTGATTTTGTTGAAAATGGCTGCACTTCATCATTTCTTATGGCCCTGTATGTTTCTATACCTGTATGTACTACTCCATTTTGTTAAAACTCCATAATATGCCATACAGTCCAGCAATCTATTGGTGGACATTGACACTGCTTCCATGTTCTACCTATTATAAAGGATATTAGTGTGAACAATGTAGAACAAGTAGATTTCTGTGTTGGTAGTTTCATATTCTTTGGATATATACATAAGAGTGGGATTGATGGATTGTATGGTATTTCCACTTTTTAGTAAGTCTAGATTGCTTTCCATAATGGCTAGAGCAAT